TGCTAGAGTCTGTATTATGCTAAAGTTAGATATTTTATGCTAGAGTCTGTATTATGCTAAAGTTAGAGATTTTATGCTAGAGTCTGTATTATACTAAAGTTAGAGATTTTATACTAGAGTCTGTATTATGCTAAAGTTAGAGATTTTATGCTAGAGTCTGTATCATGCTAAAGTTAGAGATTTTATACTAGAGTCTGTATTATGCTAAAGTTAGAGATTTTATACTAGAGTCTGTATTATGCTAAAGTTAGAGATGTTATACTAGAGTCTGTATTATGCTAAAGTTAGAGATTTTATGCTAGAGTCTGTATCATGCTAAAGTTAGAGATGTTATACTAGAGTCTGTATTATGCTAAAGTTAGAGATTTTATGCTAGAGTCTGTATCATGCTAAAGTTAGAGATTTTATACTAGAGTCTGTATCATGCTAAAGTTAGAGATTTTATGCTAGTGTCTGTATCATGCTAAAGTTAGAGATTTTATTCTAGTGTCTGTATCATGCTAAAGTTAGAGATTTTATACTAGAGTCTGTATCATGCTAAAGTTAGAGATTTTATACTAGAGTCTGTATTATGCTAAAGTTAGAGATGTTATACTAGAGTCTGTATTATGCTAAAGTTAGAGATTTTATGCTAGAGTCTGTATCATGCTAAAGTTAGAGATTTTATGCTAGAGTCTGTATCATGCTAAAGTTAGAGATTTTATACTAGAGTCTGTATTATGCTAAAGTTAGAGATTTTATACTAGAGTCTATATTATGCTAAAGTTAGAGATTTTATGCTAGAGTCTGTATCATGCTAAAGTTAGAGATTTTATACTAGAGTCTGTATTATGCTAAAGTTAGAGATTTTATGCTAGAGTCTGTATTATGCTAAAGTTAGAGATTTTATGCTAGAGTCTGTATTATGCTAAAGTTAGAGATGTTATGCTAGAGTCTGTATTATGCTAAAGTTAGAGATTTTATACTAGAGTCTATATTATGCTAAAGTTAGAGATTTTATGCTAGAGTCTGTATTATGCTAAAGTTAGAGATTTTATGCTAGAGTCTGTATTATGCTAAAGTTAGAGATTTTATACTAGAGTCTGTATCATGCTAAAGTTAGAGATTTTATGCTAGTGTCTGTATCATGCTAAAGTTAGAGATTTTATACTAGAGTCTGTATTATGCTAAAGTTAGAGATGTTATACTAGAGTCTGTATTATGCTAAAGTTAGAGATGTTATACTAGAGTCTGTATTATGCTAAAGTTAGAGATTTTATGCTAGAGTCTGTATTATGCTAAAGTTAGAGATTTTATATAAGAGTCTGTATTATGCTAAAGTTAGAGATTTTATATTAGAGTCTGTATTATGCTAAAGTTAGAGATTTTATACTAGAGTCTGTATCATGCTAAAGTTAGAGATTTTATACTAGAGTCTGTATTATGCTAAAGTTAGAGATTTTATATTAGAGTCTGTATTATGCTAAAGTTAGAGATTTTATGCTAGAGTCTGTATTATGCTAAAGTTAGAGATTTTATGCTAGAGTCTGTATTATGCTAAAGTTAGAGATTTTATACTAGAGTCTGTATTATGCTAAAGTTAGAGATTTTATGCTAGAGTCTGTATTATGCTAAAGTTAGAGATTTTATGCTAGAGTCTGTATTACGCTAAAGTTAGAGATGTTATACTAGAGTCTGTATCATGCTAAAGTTAGAGATTTTATGCTAGAGTCTGTATTATGCTAAAGTTAGAGATTTTATATAAGAGTCTGTATTATGCTAAAGTTAGAGATTTTATACTAGAGTCTGTATCATGCTAAAGTTAGAGATTTTATGCTAGAGTCTGTATTATGCTAAAGTTAGAGATTTTATACTAGAGTCTGTATCATGCTAAAGTTAGAGATTTTATGCTAGAGTCTGTATTATGCTAAAGTTAGAGATTTTATACTAGAGTCTGTATTATGCTAAAGTTAGAGATTTTATACTAGAGTCTGTATTATGCTAAAGTTAGAGATTTTATATTAGAGTCTGTATTATGCTAAAGTTAGAGATTTTATACTAGAGTCTGTATTATGCTAAAGTTAGAGATTTTATACTAGAGTCTGTATTATGCTAAAGTTAGAGATTTTATACTAGAGTCTGTATTATGCTAAAGTTAGAGATTTTATGCTAGAGTCTGTATTATGCTAAAGTTAGAGATTTTATACTAGAGTCTGTATTACGCTAAAGTTAGAGATTTTATATTAGAGTCTGTATTATGCTAAAGTTAGAGATTTTATACTAGAGTCTGTATTATGCTAAAGTTAGAGATTTTATACTAGAGTCTATATTATGCTAAAGTTAGAGATTTTATACTAGAGTCTGTATTATGCTAAAGTTAGAGATTTTATATAAGAGTCTGTATTATGCTAAAGTTAGATATTTTATACTAGAGTCTGTATTACGCTAAAGTTAGAGATTTTATATTAGAGTCTGTATTATGCTAAAGTTAGAGATTTTATACTAGAGTCTATATTATGCTAAAGTTAGATATTTTATACTAGAGTCTGTATTACGCTAAAGTTAGAGATTTTATATTAGAGTCTGTATTATGCTAAAGTTAGAGATTTTATACTAGAGTCTGTATTATGCTAAAGTTAGAGATTTTATACTAGAGTCTGTATTACGCTAAAGTTAGAGATTTTATATTAGAGTCTGTATTATGCTAAAGTTAGAGATTTTATACTAGAGTCTGTATTATGCTAAAGTTAGATATTTTATACTAGAGTCTGTATTACGCTAAAGTTAGAGATTTTATATTAGAGTCTGTATTATGCTAAAGTTAGAGATTTTATACTAGAGTCTGTATTATGCTAAAGTTAGAGATTTTATACTAGAGTCTGTATTATGCTAAAGTTAGAGATTTTATACTAGAGTCTGTATTATGCTAAAGTTAGAGATTTTATATAAGAGTCTGTATTATGCTAAAGTTAGATATTTTATACTAGAGTCTGTATTACGCTAAAGTTAGAGATTTTATATTAGAGTCTGTATTATGCTAAAGTTAGATATTTTATACTAGAGTCTATATTATGCTAAAGTTAGATATTTTATACTAGAGTCTGTATTACGCTAAAGTTAGAGATTTTATATTAGAGTCTGTATTATGCTAAAGTTAGAGATTTTATACTAGAGTCTGTATTATGCTAAAGTTAGATATTTTATACTAGAGTCTGTATTACGCTAAAGTTAGATTTTATATAAGAGTCTGTATTATGCTAAAGTTAGAGATTTTATACTAGAGTCTGTATTATGCTAAAGTTAGAGATTTTATGCTAGTGTCTGTATCATGCTAAAGTTAGAGATTTTATACTAGAGTCTGTATTATGCTAAAGTTAGAGATTTTATGCTAGTGTCTGTATCATGCTAAAGTTAGAGATTTTATACTAGAGTCTGTATTATGCTAAAGTTAGAGATTTTATGCTAGTGTCTGTATCATGCTAAAGTTAGAGATTTTATACTAGAGTCTGTATTATGCTAAAGTTAGAGATTTTATGCTAGAGTCTGTATTATGCTAAAGTTAGAGATTTTATACTAGAGTCTGTATTATGCTAAAGTTAGAGATTTTATACTAGAGTCTGTATTATGCTAAAGTTAGAGATTTTATGCTAGAGTCTGTATTATGCTAAAGTTAGAGATTTTATACTAGAGTCTGTATTATGCTAAAGTTAGAGATTTTATGCTAGAGTCTGTATTATGCTAAAGTTAGAGATTTTATACTAGAGTCTGTATTACGCTAAAGTTAGAGATTTTATATAAGAGTCTGTATTATGCTAAAGTTAGAGATTTTATACTAGAGTTTATATCATGCTAAAGTTAGAGATTGAAGTGGAGCGAATCCTGAGCAACATTGCACCATTTTTTAAAAGTCAATTCTGGGAAAATTGCCAAATTCTGGTTTAAATCTGCGAAGACGATTATATTAGATCTTTAAGGTTAAAAAGCAACATCCTGGTTAGATTTATTCACTGAAAAATAGAATAAATTATGCTTATTTTTGTAATGGCAAGTTTGTTTTGTTTCTTGAGTGTATTAAGTTTAGTAAATAATACTTGAAATACATGTTTTTTAGATTAGAATCCAGTCGTTTGGGGCTAGTTTTATTTTTTATTTTCAGAAATCTTGTATTTTCTTGTTCTCAGGTCCGTTTATTGTTGTTATTTTAGGCAGTTTTTTTACTTATTTTCATTTAATTATTGCTTACTTTTTCAGTGTAAGATGAAGAGATCCTTTCTTGGTTCCACAGAAGGGAAATGTCAGTGTTGCATCACCAGTTAAAATCATTTTTCTTTGGCTTTAAACACCAGGTGAGAGACAAAGACTATGTGTATATATAAGTCTGTATTTTTGTGTTTTTATTGTGCAGTTTTTTTTACAGTGTGTACAGCACTTTGGTAAGCTCAGGCTGTTGTAAATGTGAAGGATATAAATGATTACAAAAGATATTGTTGATTAAAGCAAGAATTTAGTATAAAATCTCTGTCTTAAACGGTATACAGGAGGATTTTCCCAAATATTAGGAAAGAACCGCACTCTCCAATTTTTGAACTAAACTCTCTGATCCTATTGGACGAGCTCATATCACCAGAATGATTGACAGCTGGGAGGACCAATAGTCTTAATGATTCACCCAGAAGTGAAAAAAACCCTCCTTTGTGCCTTTAAGCATAATAACAAAGCAAGAATCCAGTGTCAAATCTCTGACTTTAGCCTGGTAAAGACTTAAGTAAACCCAATTTTTTACATTTTCGTTCTGTGATTCTAACCGTCCATAACTTCCTCATTCGGGTCCAGACCCCAGAGCACAGCCCGGCCCACTCTCAGACACTAAATCATCAGTCTCATATTAGTCTCTGTCGGAGCGCTCGCAGCAGGCGGAAGAATAACGCCGCCGTGAAAGCCTATTATTAGAAGCCGTCTCCTTAATCACTCCGTCTTTACGCAGACCACTTCACAATGTTAGTAATTTAAAACTGGATCTGCTAATGAAGCGTCTCGGGAGGAGGAGGATGGATTGCTATTATCTCCCACGTGTCTCTGTAAAAAACGGACACCTTTGGAAACCTTTGGAAACCTTTGGAAACCTTTGTGTCTGAGGTTGAAGAGCGCGGCGCTGGGCTGAAGGGCTCCACGTGATCAGCCCGATCTAAAACATAGATGTGAGATTGTGATTTAGAGTTTGTGTTTGGTTACTTTGGATTTCAGAGGGAAGCGTGTGATGCTAGGTCACAGTGACACTTTGATTTGAATGTGTTTTTCTCTGCGGGTTTTAATAGAAGCGGACGGAGACTTTGCAACTTTCCATTTCATATTTGTAACATTCGGAAAATAGAGTCTGACGACACTTCCGGGGACGTGTTCCTGAGACGCTCGTTCATTTCAATGGAAAAAACATGTTTATATTAGACCCCATTGACATGAGCCAACTGGGACTCTGAGGAGCACAGGGACTGGCCTCCTGCTGGGACTCTGAGGAGCACAGGGACTGGCCTCCTGCTGGGACTCTGAGGAGCACAGGGACTGGCCTCCTGCTGGGACTCTGAGGAGCACAGGGACTGGCCTCCTGCTGGGACTCTGAGGAGCACAGGGACTGGCCTCCTGCTGGGACTCTGAGGAGCACAGGGACTGGCCTCCTGCTGGGACTCTGAGGAGCACAGGGACTGGCCTCCTGCTGGGACTCTGAGGAGCACAGGGACTGGCCTCCTGCTGGGACTCTGAGGAGCACAGGGACTGGCCTCCTGCTGGGACTCTGAGGAGCATAGGGACTGGCCTCCTGCTGGGACTCTGAGGAGCACAGGGACTGGCCTCCTGCTGGGACTCTGAGGAGCACAGGGACTGGCCTCCTACAGGGACTCTGAGGAGCATAGGGACTGGCCTCCTGCTGGGACTCTGAGGAGCACAGGGACTGGCCTCCTGCTGGGACTCTGAGGAGCACAGGGACTGGCCTCCTGCTGGGACTCTGAGGAGCACAGGGACTGGCCTCCTGCTGGGACTCTGAGGAGCACAGGGGACTGGCCTCCTGCTGGGACTCTGAGGAGCACAGGGACTGGCCTCCTGCTAGGACTCTGAGGAGCACAGGGACTGGCCTCCTGCTGGGACTCTGAGGAGCACAGGGACTGGCCTCCTGCTGGGACTCTGAGGAGCATAGGGACTGGCCTCCTGCTGGGACTCTGAGGAGCATAGGGACTGGCCTCCTGCTGGGACTCTGAGGAGCATAGGGACTGGCCTCCTGCTAAATTAATAAGGAAGATAATGACAATGGTGATGATGATAAACTAAAATATAAAAATAGTAATTATATTTGTAAATATTGTTTTTACTTTATTGTTATTATCGTCCTTATTTTCTATCTCATTTTCCTGTTAAGCAACATTTTCTTGATTTTGTTTCCCTTTAAATGAAAAATAAAAGCTCCAGAGGGTGCATGAGCACATGCACTGACATGCTGCAATCTCACTCGTTGTCAGTGGGGGTGTACCCGGAAACAGAATTACGCAATGTTTTTGTATGGAATCCTGATGCTGAGGGGAGTACATGTTTTTGGACCAGTCTAATTTAGCTGCTGTGGACTTTTGAATGCACTCGTTAAATGAATGGGGCTAGTGCAGCTAACACAGGTGCAAATTCTCCAGCACGCAGAGAATGAGTCATGAATTTGTATTAAAGTAAATCTCCGAGGGACAATCCTGCAGTAGATATGTTTGCCACATCCTTGAACCAGACTCACCACAATGGAGCTGCTGCTGCCTGAGGTTCCTGAACTCCAGCCCGTGCAGGTGGGTGGGGAAGGAGCAGGTGGTGTCGTTTCCGATCCGCACCGACTTGGACTTGGCCCAAAGCAGAAGCCACTGCAGCTGACAGTCACAGAACAGGCTTTCTGTCTTAAAGTGTCTGGAAGAAGGTCAAGAAAACAGTTTAGAATAATGTGTTTACGTTGCCAGAAGTGCAGGTGGGTGCGTCAGGAGATCAAACTTTTATTGTCTGCAGAGAGTAGAGCCAGGAGAGGCTAAAGCAGCTTAATGAGGAAGCTGGTTACAGAGATCATTTAAAACAGATGCAGCTTGTTCCAAGGAGACAAACTCTAGATATTCTTAAGGCTTTAGAAGTTCTTCTAAAAAGACAGTAGCTGCGTTTCCATTGAATAATGCGCAAAAACGTATTCGATACATTTCAAAATTCGAAAAACCTGTAATTCGCAAAAGCGGCCGTTTCCATTAAGACATATTCGAATAAGTATACACTATTTTCGCGCGTTTATTCACTAGTTTCTAGTACGTCAACATGGCAACAGAAGTAACCAACACGTTGATTTACGTGAGATATATTAATGTCTTGACTTCTGCTGCGGCTCTCATCCTCTCTGACCTCTGACCCCGGAAGAAACTGTGGCTGCTTTGACAGCTCCGCGAACGCGCGTGGTCATGTACCGAGCGCGGACCATAGACGCGCGCACAGAACCATAGACACGGGTCTTGCCTGTCTCCACCGTCTCTCCCCCGTCTCTCCCCCGTCTCTTCTCCGTCTCTTCCCCGTCTCTCCCCCATGCCTCTCCCCCGTCTCTTCTCCGTCTCTTCCCCGTCTCTTCCCCGTCTCTCCCCCATGCCTCTCCCACGTATCTCCCAAGTCTCCACACGAAGCGCAGCCAAAACTCACTGAATAAAGCTCAGCTCGGCTTCCTCCGCTATATCGAAATAAGTGTTTCCATTAACTTCATTTCGATACGTCCAAAAAAACACCTATTTTAAGCGCATTAACTTTTTATCGAAAAACTGTGGTTTATTCGAAATTTGCGCGTTTCCATTAGATATTTTATGATGCGCAAATTCAAATTTCGAAATTTGATGCTCAATGGAAACGCAGCTAATAAGGCAAAAAAAAACTAGTACTGCTTCAATACCTGACATGTTTCGGCGGTAAACTTCCTCCTTCATCAGTTTTCTACATTTAGATATTCTTCCTGAAAACAATTTGGTTTACCCACCTTCCAATGAATGAGAGTGGTAAGCGTTACTGATGAAAAGGAAAGGGTAACGAGTTTTTGAGCTGTTTTTGAGGCAATTCCCTCAACTTTTGGTCCCAGTAAAGCTACAACTGGGCCCAGCTGGATAGTAATGTTGAGCAATTTGCACAAGTCGTTTCTTACATTATTCAAAACAATGTTAAAGTTAAATTCAGCTTGAAGTTCTTTCGTTGAAGGTATTAGTCCAGATCTAAAGGTGTAACCAATGTACACGGAATGTTTTTACTAAGCCACTGTTTAGGACGTGCTGTGACCGTGTGTCCAGTGCAAGGTGAAAATACGACACACACAATATTTGAGATGTCATAATGAAATATTTAAATAATATCACCAAGTGTCTGAAATAAAGAAATTGAAGCCGGAGCAAGAGGAATGTTTAGTAAATATCATTGATGCAAAAAAATCTTGTGGCTCTACTCCTCACGGGCTCCGTTGGTGGCAAAGGAGATGGCTAAAGCTAGGCTAACTGCTAAAGCTTGGCTAAATGCTAAATGCCTCACTCACTCGGGCTCATTACATACGTCACAGTTAACTCAGATCCAATCGTTTCAATCTGCAAAAGGAGTTAGCCCCTCCCACCTGTTAACGGAGTCAATGGAGCAAACCCAGACCTTAGAACCAAATGAAATGAGTACAATGGTGTGGTAAGACCAGGCTAGAACTACTTTTTCAAATAGAACAGTCCAGCTTTTCCTTCAGTGGAGCCAAACTGTGGAACGCTCTTCCCACTGACCTTAACCTACAAACAGACTTAAACATCTTCGACTGAAACTTTGGCTGAAATCGGAGCAACGTTGTTCACACGATTAATGAACTGTATATTTAATTACTTTTATATTTGTAAATTATTAACGTGTGCATTTGTGTTGTAAAAGCCTTCTATGGACAAGTGTTGAAAATTAGCCTGGTCTTGCTCTAACACTAAAGGCATCTGGTCTGTCCAATGAAACTGTTGTCTCTGTGTTAAATAAATGAATAAAATAAACGTAACCAAACTATTGAAAATTAACTATTTAAATAAAAAAATATTGAAATAATAATAAAAAAACAAAGGACACATGGAATGACACAAGACTAATAATAATAATAATAATAATAATAATAATAATAATATATTTATAGAGTATAGTTTTATGGTTGGATGTAGACTGTAAAAACTCCTTACAGCACTTTGAGAGCCGTCAGGTGCCTGAAGAGTCCCGGGCTCAGGGTGGAGAAGATGTTTCCGGAGAGATTCCTGTTTGAAGAATACAAGACGTATTAAACGCGCTACATAAATCCGCACGACCATTTCCATAAGCCGCTCTGTCGGAGGCGGCGTTCCAGCTCCTCCGCAGGCAACACACAAAATGAAGCTTAAAGAGCATGTTTTCAATTAGCGCGTTGTACTCACAGTTTGGAGAGGCTGCTCAGATCCACCAACGCCCCGGGCACCAGGCAGCCAATCCGGTTACGGGACAGGTCCCTGCAAACACGGCCGGAGTTAGGAGCGGCGAGTCCCCAGGCGGTGTGTGTGTGTGTGTGTGTGTGTGTGTGTGTGTGTGTGTGTGTGTGTGTGTTCTGTGATAAGCATTTTATTTTGTTCACTTGAGTTGCGTGGTATGTGATTTGTGCAATACTAATTACGTCACCTTGTCTCTGTATGTGTGTGTACATGTGTGTATACGTGTGTGTGTGTGTGTACATGTGTGTGTGTGTTTACATGTGTGTGCGTGTACATGTGTGTGTGTGTGTGTCTGTATGCATGTGTTGTATGATAATCTTATTTTGTTTAGCACTTCGAGTTGCCTTGCGCATGAATTTTGCTAAATGAATAAACTTGCCTTGTCTATGTGCACGTGTGTGTGCCTATGTACAATGTGTGTGTGTGTGTGTGTGTGTGCATATATGTACAATGTGTGTGTGTGTGTGTGTGCCTATATGTACAATGTGTGTGTGTGTGTGTGTGCCTATGTACAATGTGTGTGTGTGTGTGTGTGTGTGAATATATGTACAATGTGTGTGTGTGTGTGTGTGTGTGTGTGCCTATATGTACAATGTGTGTGTGTGTGTGTGTGCCTATGTACAATGTGTGTGTGTGTGTGTGTGCCTATATGTACAATGTGTGTGTGTGTGTGTGTGTGCCTATATGTACAATGTGTGTGTATGTGTATGCGAGTGTGTGTTTACGTGTGTGTGTGTGTGTCTATGCTTGTGTTTGAGTGTGTGCCTATATGTACAATGTGTGTGTGTGTGTGTCATTCTCAAGTGCTTCACAAACAGAAAAGAAACAGTCACACAATCTTTTACGATCATAAATAATCACAGTACATTAAAAAAGAGTTAAGATAGAATCCAGCAGTTACAGCAGCTAAACAGAACTGTCTCATATTTTCAGGAAGATCAAAATAAAAAATGCTGCCTCTCCCTGCAGGAGGCCAGTCCCTGTGCTCCTCAGAGTCCCTGCAGGAGGCCAGTCCCTGTGCTCCTCAGAGTCCCAGCAGGAGGTCAGTCCCTGTGCTCCTCAGAGTCCCAGCAGGAGGCCAGTCCCTGTGCTCCTCAGAGTCCCTGCAGGAGGTCAGTCCCTGTGCTCCTCAGTCCCCGCAGGAGGCCAGTCCCTGTGCTCCTCAGAGTCCCAGCAGGAGGCAAGTTCCTTTGCTCCTCAGAGTCCCAGCAGGAGGCCAGTCCCTGTGCTCCTCAGAGTCCCAGCACGAGGCAAGTCCCTATGCTCCTCAGAGTCCCAGCAGGAGGCAAGTCCCTGTGCTCCTCAGAGTCTCAGCAGGAGGCCAGTCCCTATGCTCCTCAGAGTCCCAGCAGGAGGCCAGTCCCTGTGCTCCTCAGAGTCCCAGCAGGAGGCCAGTCCCTGTGCTCCTCAGAGTCCCTGCAGGAGGCCAGTCCCTGTGCTCCTCAGAGTCCCTGCAGGAGGCCAGTCCCTGTGCTCCTCAGAGTCCCTGCAGGAGGCCAGTCCCTGTGCTCCTCAGAGTCCCTGCAGGAGGCCAGTCCCTGTGCTCCTCAGAGTCCCTGCAGGAGGTCAGTCCCTGTGCTCCTCAGAGCAGTGCAGTGTGTGTGTTTGCCTCAGCCCTATAGCTCAGCAGTACCCTCGGCTCAGAGCCCTAACCTTCTGTAATTAAAGAGCTGCTTTCGCCGGAGCAGCTGTGGGAAAATAAGCAAAGCACTCGAGTAATCACTGGTTTGGGGGCAGTTAAATTAGCAGTGCATCTTTCCACACACGCCTCGTTTCCGCAGACACACACTGAACTGAACCATCCGACAGCCCATCACAACGCAATCAAGTCACTAACTACAGAGACAAGAGAGTGAGGAAGAAGAAGAGTGGGAGATGAGTTCAGCGCAGTGTAATAGTGTGAAAGATTAGACTGAAAATATCAATGGACGGAGCCACTCCAAAAGTGGTTCTTAGTCCAAATGTGGGTCTTGGTCCAAAAGTGGTTCTTGGTCCAAAAGTGGTTCTTGGTCCAAAAGTGGTTCTTGGTCCAAAAGTGGTTCTTGGTCCAAAAGTGGTTCTTGGTGCAAAAGTGGTTCTTGGTCCAAAAGTGGTTCTTGGTCCAAATTGGGTTCTTGGTCCAAAAGTGGTTCTTGGTCCAAAAGTGGCTCTTGGTCCAAAAGTGGCTCTTGGTCCAAAAGTGGTTCTTGGTCCAAAAGTGGCTCTTGGTCCAAATGTGGCTCTTGGTCCAAAAGTGGTTCTTAGTCCAAATGTGGTTCTTGGTCCAAAAGTATTACTTGGTCCAAAAGTGGCTCTTGGTGCAAAAGTGGTTCTTGGTCCAAAAGTGGTTCTTGGTCCAAAAGTGGCTCTTGGTCCAAATTGGGTTCTTGGTCCGAAAGTGGTTCTTGGTCCAAAAGTGGTTCTTGGTCCAAATGTGGTTCTGGGTCCAAAAGTGGTTCTTTGTCAAAAAGTGGTTCTTGGTCCTAAAGTGGGTCTTGGTCCAAAAGTGGTTCTTGGTCCAAATGTGGTTCTGGGTCCAAATGTGGTTCTTGACCAAAAAGTGGTTCTTGGTCCAAAAGTGCTTCTTGGTCCAAATGTGGTTCTGGGTCCAAAAGTGGTTCTTGGTCCAAATGTGGTTCTTGGTCCAAAAGTGGTTCTTGGTCCGAAAGTGGTTCTTGGTCCAAATGTGGTTCTGGGTCCAAATGTGGTTCCGGGTCCAAAAGTGGTTCTTGGTCAAAAAGTGCTTCTTGGTCCAAAAGTGGTTCTGGGTCCAAATGTGGTTATGGGTCCATATGTGGTTGTGGGTCCAAAAGTGGTTCTTGGTCCAAAAGTGCTTCTTGGTCCAAAAGTGGTTCTTGCTCCGAAAGTGGTTCTGGGTCCAAAAGTGGCTCTTGGTCAAAAAAGTGGTTCTTGGTCCACAAGCGGTTCTTGGTCCAAATGTGGTTCTGGGTCCAAAAGTGGTTCTTGGTCCAAATGTGGTTCTGGGTCCAAAAGTGGTTCTTGGTCCAAATGTGGTTCTGGTTCCAAAAGTGGTTCTTTGTCAAAAAGTGGTTCTTGGTCCAAAAGTGCTTCTTGGTCCAAAAGTGGTTCTTGGTCCAAATGTGGTTCTGGGTCCAAAAGTGGTTCTTGGTCCAAATGTGGTTCTGGGTCCAAAAGTAGTTCTTGGTCCAAATGTGGTTCTTGGTCCAAATTGGGTTCTTGGTCCGAAAGTGGTTCTTGGTCCAAAAGTGGTTCTTGGTGCAAAAGTGGTTCTTGGTCCAAATGGGGTTCTTGGTCCAAAAGTGGCTCTTGGTCCAAATTGGGTTCTTGGTCCGAAAGTGGTTCTTGGTCCAAAAGTGGCTCTTGGTCCAAATGTGGCTCTTGCTCCAAAATTGGTTCTTGGTCCGAAAGTGGTTCTTGGTCCAAATGTGGTTCTGGGTCCACAAGTGGTTCTTGGTCCAAAAGTGGTTCTTGGTCCAAATGTGGTTCTGGGTCCAAAATTGGTTCTTGGTCCAAAAGTGCTTCTTGGTCCAAAAGTGGTTGTTGGTCCAAATGTGGTTCTGGGTCCAAAAGTGGTTCTTGGTCCAAATGTGGTTCTGGGTCCAAAAGTAGTTCTTGGTCCAAATGTGGTTCTTGGTCCAAAAGTGGTTCTTGGTCCGAAAGTGGTTCTTGGTCCAAAATTGGTTCTTGGTCCAAAAGTGGTTCTTGGTCCAAAAGTTGTTCTTGGTCCAAAAGTGGTTCTTGGTGCAAAAGTGGTTCTTGGTCCAAATGGGGTTCTTGGTCCAAATGGGGTTCTTGGTCCAAAAGTGGCTCTCGGTCCAAATTGGGTTCTTGGTCCAAAAGTGGTTCTTGGTCCAAAAGTGGCTCTTGGTCCATATGTCGCTCTTGGTCCAAAATTGGTTCTTGGTCCGAAAGTGGTTTTTGGTCCAAATGTGGTTCTGGGTCCAAAAGTGGTTCTTGGTCCAAAAGTGGTTCTTGGTCCAAATGTGGTTCTGGGTCCAAAAGTGGTTCTTGGTCCAAAAGTCCTTCTTGGTCCAAAAGTTGTTCTTGGTCCGAAAGTCGTTCTTGTTCTAAATGGGGTTCTTGGTCCAAAAGTGGTTCTTCGTTCAAAGCTATGTTCCATGTCCTGTCGATGTTGAGGGAAATATATATTTTTGGACCGGTCTAGTTTAGCCGCTGTGGACTTTTGAATGCACTCGTTAAATGAATGGGGCTAGTGCAGCTAACTCATGCACAAATGTCCCCCCCACCCCTCTAAAAATGTGGATTGAGGACAAAGCGTGACACTAAAATCCTCACAAAATCCTCCTTTATGGAAGCGGAAGGTTCTCTGTCAGGTTCTCTGTCAGGTTCTCTGTCAGGTTCTCTGTCAGGTTGAGCTGTTTTAGTTTACATTGACATCTATGGGGAGAAATTTCTGTGTAACCCAAGTGAATTTAGTCTGCAGTACCACAGCGCCCCCTGTGGCCATGGGTGAGATTGCTATAAGCTAGTAATACTCTATCCAGTCATTATTAGATCCATGGTTTTTTCACATTTTCCTGCCCCGCGGCCATTTTGAAAAATCCCACAGAAGGTAAAAGTGGTGGCAGCTAACCATGTGTTCTGTCCATCTCCTGCATCTGCTAATAATAAGATGCTAATAATAATACTAATTGTAGCCGTCCCTGCAAATGGCTCTATACTGATGATTACATACTTTACTTACTTTTGAAGGCACTTATAGTTTTCCAAGAGAAATTATATCTGTATACTTTGGCTGCAAGGTTTAACCAAACAATGACACTGACATTTGCTCATTGTGGAACCAGCAAAGAAATATTTTGTCTTGTTTTATAACATATACATTTACTGTAAAGGGCCTGGATATAATATATTTGAGTGTGTTTTTCCTGCTATTTCGGTGTCAATTAGTAAAAGCCAAGAAGTGCAGTGTCTCCGCCAGCCCCTGCTCTGGGGACGTCTCTGCAGAGTGGCTGTGAGGGGATGTGAGCCCAGCACTCTCTTGAGCAGACCTCTCAGAGCGGGTCATTTGGTGTGTTTGGTGTGAACTCGGAGTCTTCATCATACTCACAGTCGCCGCAGTGTCAGCAGACCACGGAAGGCCCCGGGCTCCACTGTACTTATCAAATTATTCTTCAGATCCCTGGAGGAGAGAGCAGGCAGGTGGTCAGACCAGTGTAGTGCATCCCTCTGAATGTCTAATGGACTCAGTCAAACAGCGGCTTCAACCAGAGAAAGAGGAACGTGTGGAGAGAAGTCACACAGAGGTCAGATATCGCCTGTTTTACAACTTGAGAGACTGAATCACGTGGTTCTTTACAATAATACTAAACAAATAGATGTATAAATATATAGAAAAAGCTCAAAAGTGGTACTGCAGCCTCTCCCACTCTCCCTGACTCAGGTTGCCAGATATACAGACGAATCCAGCTGGGACCATAACAGCTGAATAGACAAGAGTTTTGTCAACAACAAATCTATAACCAACACCTTTTTCACAAAGATAGAAATCCTGGTTTTATTCCTTGTTTTGTCGTTAATGATTTGAGAATCAAATGATTTGAGAATACTGTTATCCAGTAGGGCGACAGTAGCTCAGTTGGTAGAGCATTGGCCTTAAGGTCTGAAGGTCGTGGGTTCAATTCCCACCTCTGCACCTTCTCCACCGACTCCCACTGATGACTGCTGTCGTTGTGTCCTTGGGCAAGACACTTAACCCCACTTTGCCCAAAGCCCCCACTGAAAGATCAAGGCTATGCTCACACTCAGAGAGCAGCCGTCCTCCTGTGGACTCACCACCTGCAGAGGGTCAGTGAGGGGCTGGTGCTATGAGACTTGGGTGGCATCTCTGACTGCCACCCCCCTGACCCAGAAATGGATTAAATGGTAGAAAATGGATGGATGGATGGATACTGTTATCCATTTATGACTTACTTTAAACTTACTTTTACTTTAATTACATGTATTTTTCAAAACAAATTGTTAGTTCTTCCGTTTCACACCTGGAGCAAACCGACCTCCTTAAGATGATCTACTGTATGCAAACACGGGAAGGACATGCAAAGTCCCAAGAGAAAGAGGCCACTTAGAGCTCGCTCAAACAGGCTCCAAGGACAGATATTTGCTTAGGATTAATTAATGAGTCGGCTACATTTGCAATACAAAAGACAGGGTGCTTGCGCAAGTCTGGAAGTATGGAATTTTGAAACATCTTGAATTTTGTGTGAATGTCTTAATAAAGTATGGGGAAAAAATGTATGGTAGAATTTTATGGTGTGCTCAAAGGCTTTGTGAAATGAGAAATATGAAGGTAGGCTGTAAAACTATAATTATACCAACTAATGGAGCTATATCCAATCAACGCTTGCGTAGCCTGGCACATTTCCGTCTATTGACAGGGCACAATCTGAACCAGTGAAGTAGGCAGTAGGCACACATGTATACAAGTACAAAAAGTTAAGGTATTGAAGAAAAAAGATCAGTTTTAAATAAGTCTGGAAAAAGTCTGGAATTTTAATTTGGAAATAGAGCAAGAACCCTGAAAAGAGGATTCAACTGGTCAGCCAACCAGGAGCCAATCAGGAGCCAACCAGGAGCCAATCAGGAGCCAACCAGGAGCCAACCAGGAGCCAATCAGGAGCCAACCAGGAGCCAATCAGGAGCAAACCAGGAGCCAACTAGGAGAAAACCAGGAGCCAACCAGGAGCCAACCAGGAGCCAACCAGGAGCCAACTAGGAGCCAACCAGGAGCCAACCAGGAGCCAATCAGGAGCCAACTAGGAGCCAACTAGGAGCCAACCAGGAGCCAACTAGGAGCCAACCAGGAGCCAACCAGGAGCCAACTAGGAGCCAATCAGGAGCCAACCAGGAGCCAACCAGGAGCCAACCAGGAGCCAACCAGGAGCCAACCAGGAGCCAACCAGGAGCCAATCAGGAGCCAACCAGGAGCCAACCAGGAGCCAATCAGGAGTGGTGCTTGTCGGTTCCTGTTACCTGTTTAGTCCATAGACTGTAAATATTAACCGACGTAGTCAATGTAAGTTTACTTTTCAATGTAAGTGAATGGAGTCAAAGAACCAAACTTGGCTCATGAGCACTTCCCTATTAGGCTTCATAGAGTCAGCAGTGTAGCATTGTCCATCCCTAAATGCAGAATATGATCCGAACAATACAATACGGTCTGTTATTTATATTGTTATTCTATTTATTATAACTATTATCATTCATTTATTATCATATTAATGTTATCATGTATATTATTATTATTACTATTATGAATTTCTAAAATGGTAGATGGGCTGTCACCAAAGTAAACATATATTTCAGTTTTCTTTATGGTTCATGTTGAGGACCTCCTGTGGTTCAAATTAACTGGTTAACGGTCAATAATGACATAATCACAAACATTTTTTATAGTCCTCCTTCCATCTTCTTCCCCTTAATCCATGTCTGGGTTGGGGGTGGCAGTCAGAGCCCTCACTGATCCTCCTGCAGGTGCTGAGTCCACAGGAGCCTTGATCTTTCAGCGGCGACTTCAGGCAAAGTGGGTGAAGTGCGTTGCCCAAGGACACAACAACAGCAGACGTCAGTGGGAGTCGGAGAAGGTTCTGTGGTGGACTCGAACCCACGATTTACAGGCTTAAAGACCAATACTCTACCAACTGAGCCACTGTATCCGCAGGTGGCACGGTGGCTGAGTGGTTAGCACTCTCGCTTCTCTGCAAGAAGGTCCTGGGTTCGAATCCCGGTCGGAACAGGGCCTTTCTGAGTGGAGTTTGCCTGTTCTTCCCGTGTCTGTGTAGGTTTCCTCTGGGTGCTCCGGTTTCCCCTACCACTAAAAACATGTGCACTAGGTCTGTGCCTCCTGTACTGGCCCCGCTCCCATCTCTGTGTGGAGTGACAGACTAATGCCCAAAATAACATTTGTAAACTGCTTTGACTCTGGTCTGTGAAAGGTGCTATATAAATAAATGTTACTTACTTCTGGTGGGTTCGAACCAACGGCCTTTAGGCTGAAGGGTCAATACTGAGCCACTGTCGCCCCACATTGTTTATAGTATGATGGTCATATTGGATCATATTGTAATCCATCATTCCCGTGCGTCTGCCTCAAATTGTGAAAAATGTAAAAAACATTTACAGGATCTTTAGAATGGAAAACATACTGTTCATTTATTTTCCTGATGGATGTTCTCGTTACAAGATTAGACTTTGGTTTGGTGGACTGTCTGGAGCACCTGTCAGCTGGACCTCTCTGGAGAACCACAAACCACTTCCAGTCCAGAGGCAGACCCAGCCCCCGGAGCCCGCGCCAACCCTGGGCTAAAAACAGATCTAAATGGCTTCGGCCTTTCCCTGCGGGCCAAGGAAAACTTCCTGAAATTGTTTGTGTGGCTTCCTGTGCGATGCCCTGTCCAGTGCGATGAGAATCAGAGCAGTATAAGTCGGTACAGGAGCAGCTCAGAGCCCGGCCACGGCCCCCGGGAGAAAATAAACTCAACGCTAGAGCAGTTTATACGTGACCCAAGAGACAGTTTGTGAAAGAGGCCAACTCAATTATCACCGTGGATCTGAAGACAACAGAGCGAAGACTTCAGGACATAATAATGAATATGTCTGAATACAAAGGCGGCCAAATGGAACAGGAACAAGAAAGGTTCATGTCAGAAAAGGTTGCAATAATGATCAGAATATTTACTTAGTCGTCTCAGAGGACTTTAGCTGTTGATTCACCAACAACAGATCAGAGAATCAAACAGTTCTGGACAGTGGTCATGATCCAGGACACTCCACATTCAACATGTATGGACTTTATAAGATTAGATAAGACGGACTTTATCGATGTCACGCAGGAGACCTGTTCATGACACATCTGATAGAATCACTCAGGATTGTGCAAAAGAAAGAAACCCTAACCCAAATATATATAGTCTGTTCCAGATATAATTATGTACAATAAAAAGTGGCAATCAAATATAGTGCAGGTTTTCAGTCTTATACAGTGACTTAAAGTTACTTATTGTACAGTCTGACAGCGGTGGGGATAAAGGCCCTGCTCCTTCTTACACTGAAGGAGCTCCTCAGCTCCTCCTCAGTCCTGTGCAGTGGGAGGTGTTGGACATGATGGAGGTGTCCCTTACCTCCTCCACAGAGTCCAGGGGCCTCCCCTCACCTCCTCCACAGAGTCCAGGGGCCTCCTGACCCTCACCTCCTCCACAGAGTCCAGGGGCCTCCTGACCCTCACCTCCTCCACAGAGTCCAGGGGCCTCCTGACCCTCACCTCCTCCACAGAGTCCAGGGGCCTCCTGTCCCTCACCTCCTCCACAGAGTCCAGGGGCCTCCCCTCACCTCCTCCACAGAGTCCAGGGGCCTCCTGTCCCTCACCTCCTCCACAGAGTCCAGGGGCCTCCTGACCCTCACCTCCTCCACAGAGTCCAGGGGCCTCCTGTCCCTCACCTCCTCCACAGAGTCCAGGGGCCTCCTGACCCTCACCTCCTCCACAGAGTCCAGGGGCCTCCTGTCCCTCACCTCCTCCACAGAGTCCAGGGGCCTCCTGTCCCTCACCTCCTCCACAGAGTCCAGGGGCCTCCTGACCCTCACCTCCTCCACAGAGTCCAGGGGCCTCCTGTCCCTCACCTCCTCCACAGAGTCCAGGGGCCTCCTGTCCCTCACCTCCTCCACAGAGTCCAGGGGCCTCCTGTCCCTCACCTCCTCCACAGAGTCCAGGGGTCTTAGTTTCACATTTTAGTGTTTTACTTTTTGTATTGTAATTGTATTGTTTTTAGTGTACCCAGCGTTTCCTCTGGAGGAGCCCTCTGCACTGGGAGCAGTGGTCGGTGTGGCTGCGGGGGTCGGACTCTTGGACCTGGTGGGGGCCGGGGGGATTGTTTTTAACCAAACTGTAGAGCACTTTGTGTTGCATCTTTTGTATGAAAAGCAATTTATAAATAAAATGTGATTGATTGATTGAAACACAAATGCTTTTTATTTAAATAGTTTCTTTGAAGCTCCTTGAAGATCAGGAAATCTTGGCACTTGCAAATGCAAATGAGAAGTGGAAGGTGAGCAGTGACTTGTGTTTATGGTCTGTCAGTGTGAAGATTGTGTTGACATATTCAGGTGTGTTTTCATATTGAACATCAGAGACTATTGAAAATCTACAAGCAGAAGCAGCAAGAGCAGACTTTGGAAGTCCACGTTTATCACAGGTTTAGTCCCAGGTTAGTCCTGGTTGAGTCCTGTTTCAGTCCATGCTTAGTCCTGATTCTTGGTTTGGTCCTTAAGGCTGTGCTCTTTTCAGGTGAATATGGATCCGATGTGGCTGCTCTCTCTGCTGCTGAGTAAGTTACCGTTCGTCTTCATTACTTTTGAATCTTTCTCATTCGTGCTTCACAGGGCACTGGGTTTGATCCCGGATCATTTGACTTGGCACGCCAAACGGACACTCTAAAAAAAGCATACTCTCTAAAATCTCGTTTTTTGGTAAATGTGTTCTTCCTGTAGGTCAGTTGTGTGTCTCAGCGTCTCTGGACCCTGAGTACCACTTTGTGGCTGAGCCGATGTCGTGGCCTCATGCTCAGACTTGCTGTAGAAAGCCAGACATATGGATCGGAATTCATAGAACCAGCAACAACCGAACATGGTTCTGGTCTCAGCCCACAGTCGCGTACAATGCAACAGACTTTGTGTGGTTCTCTGAGGATGATGATGATGAAGGAGGAGCCAACGACTGTGTGAACATGGACACATTGGGCGGGTTGAAAGGTATTCCCTGTGATGAGAAAACCAGCTGTTTCATCTGCTTCGATGGTGAGGATACACTTTTTATTATAATAATAATAATGTATTCATTTTATATTACACTCATTTGGACCCTATTGTACGCTGCACATTTTATTACTCATTCACTTTGAACACTGCTGATAAACTACTGCGTTAGAGAGAGAGAGAGACACATAGATAGATAGATGGGTGAAGTGTCTTGCCTAAGGACACAACAACAGTTTGATGTACCCAGAGATCTCCCATCACAGTACTAACAAGGCCTTACTCTGCTTAGCTTTTGGGGTCTACCAGGATCAGGCATTCATTGGTTAAAGCTGGGGTACCTATACTGTTCAGGACCATCTGAAGGTCTAAGTCAGATCCTGTCAGGCCGCTAAAGCTAACCACAACCTTAGCTTTCTGCCACCAGTTTATTCAATTCAATTTACCTTGGTTAGTGGTTAGCACTCTCGCCTCTCAGCAAGAAGGTCCTAGGTTCGAATCCCAGTCGGAACAGGGCCTTTCTGAGAGGAGTTTGCATGTTCTCCCCGTGTCTGCTTAGGTTTCTACCGGGTGCTCCGGTTTCCAGCCACATTTTTACAAACTTTGAATGAGCCTGGAACATGTCAGTTCAAAACAAGTCCCATGTTTTCCAGACTCCTACACGACTTTCATGAGAACCCATGATAACCCCAAAACCTGGTTGGGGCTCAGCGGTTCTGCAGAACATACTTCACTGATCTGATAAGTGGAAAGGCCCAAGAGATACATTTTAGGAGAAAATACAACCAGGGCGTGACCTGTTTGATCGGTCTGTCCCGGGACGACTGGGGCTGGTCCGACGGAAGCTACTCCACTTTCCGGAACTGGAATTCAGTCTGGAATAGGGCTGGGCGATATGGCAAAAAAAAAAAATCTCCGATTTTTTCACACCAAATCCGATTTACGATTTTAATCGATTTATTTTTTTCTATTTAAAAACAAACTACAACTGACAAAGAAATAGATTTTCCTTTATGCAGTTTAATCTAAATCCCCATGGAGCATAAGTGTAACAGGAATTAAGCCTTAAAACATGCTTGTAAACGAGATGGCTCTGCCATTGTAAACAGTGAAAATGTAGCTTAACAGTTTTATAATAACTTCACTTACAATGACACTATGCACCTTCAAAATAACTTAAATCACACAAACAAGGCCCATCGCAAATATATCAATCCTATTAAACACATGCATTATTTACATGAAATATCACATTTTTAAAACTGATTACTCAAAGTAGAAATGTTGTAACAGACAGTATTTTCCAAAAGCCTCCTCGGGTTTTCATGCTTGTTCTTTCAACTGTGCCTGAGTAACTGTGCTGTAGTACAACGCTCTGTCCAGCTGGTGGCGCTAATACTAACTTCAGTGACTCCCGCATTGTGCGAGCTTCCTGTTTACATTCTGATGCTGTAGCTAACAGCTACTGTAGCAGCTACTGTAGCTAACAGCTACTGTAGCAGCTACTGTAGCTAACAGACAGCGGGGAACACGTTGTTTGTATCAGAGCAATGAGAGCAATGTGTGAGACGTGTCTTTCCCCAAAGTGCAGCGGCTCAGTGGGACACGAGTGTGTGCGCGCCACGGACACGGGAGTGCGCTTTGGAATAACGAGCGTGAGAGAGCGTGAAAGATGTGGCGTACGACCGGAGCCTGTGTGTGTGTGTTTGTGTGTTCTGGCGATTTAAATAAAGTCTGATTCTTGAACGTTTGAAGTGTTTTTGCAACAGCACCAACTGTGAGAGCGAGCATCAGGCCAGAGGGAGACTGTTAGCATTAGGTTAGCTTCAAAATGACTGCTCAACACCATAGACCCGCGGTTAGCGCGTTAGCGCTGTAGTTCTGCGCTGGAGAAAATAAAAATCGAATTTTTAAAAAAAGAAATTGCCCTAAACGTAAAACTCGAATTAATGATTAAAATCGATTAATCGCCCAGCCCTAGTCTGGAACAACGCAACGAAGAGGTGTGCAACCCTGGGAGAGGAGGGCCGATGGGAGAGCGAGGACCGCGGCCTCAAGAAGAGCTTCATCTGCCAAGGTGGTGAATATTTACGATCAGCATTACCGAGTTTGGCAAACGGGTGTGCAGTTTGGTACAGGGTTCACATGTTGGGAACCCATCTGAAAGAGCAGAGTAGACTGTTTTGATGCTTTTGAAGGTGTCTCCTAACTTTGCCTCATCAATCAATCAATCAAACTTTATCTGTAGAAGCTTTTCCTACACAGAGCAACACACAAAGCCCATATCACAAAAGGCATGAATCACAATCATAAAAATCACAGAAAAGGGATTCAAATCACACACAAAAAGATTTCTCATCCATCCGTACGTTAAGAGTGAAGACGCCATACTTACTGCATGTCTCACATTTTCTAGCCTGGTCGTACCACACCATAGTACAATACAATACAATACAATATAATTTATTCTTGTATAGCCCTAGGTCACAACAGAAGTCATCTCAGAGACTTAACAAAACCATTGAAATCACCAACACAGGTCAGAGAATCAACAGTTAAAACACATGAAGAATATAAAGCACACACAGAAGAAAATGTCCATACATGTTGTAGAATGCTAAAGTGTCCTGATCATCACCAATCCTTTCTGTTGGACACTAACTGTCCAACAAGACCCTCCTGCATCCACAAGGAACAACTCTTAAAAAACCCAGTGGGAAAACGTGAGAAACCTTGGAGGAGAACTAGGGAAACCCACAGGGAGGGAGACCCATATGAGAAAGGGATCCGCTCCTCCGGACGGACAGGCTAATGATCTAGGACCTAAGCTAGCTACAGAACGTGGACCAGTGGACGCTGAACGTGGACAGGTCCGGTGCAGGACTGAAGCACTCCCAGGCGGGTCGGGCGGGGCAGTCCGCAGCTGTAGATGGAGGAGATAGTACAAATTACATGTTGTACTAAAGTCTGGATTGGCTCCATTGAGCTTCGTTAACAGGTGGGAGGGGTTAACTTCTTTTGCAGATTGAAACCATTGGATCTGAGTTTACTGTGACGTTTGTAATGCGCCCGAGTGAGTCGTTAGCATTTAGCCTTTAGCCTAGCTTTATCTCCTTTGCCGCTAACGGAGCCCGTGGGCAGTAGCGCCACAATTTTTCCAGCGATTACATTTGCTAAACATTCCTCCTGCTCCGGCTTCGATTTCTTGAACCAGAACCAGACCAGAATACTTTACTATCGCATTTTTTGCCAATACGACCGGCCCGTTCTGCTCAAACTCTTGACGTCACCCACATTTAGCTACAACACCCGCCTTCCGAGCTCTCTGATTGGTCGGTCCTAATTCAAGTGATTGTAATCGCAAACACAGGGACCAGACCCAGTGCAGGACATGATGATTGAACAGAGTGGACGGATGGATAAGGCCAGGCTTCACATTTTCAGGAAGATAAAATAATATACACATTAGGGCTGCGTGATATATCGAAGAAATATCGTTATCGCAATATTGGCACGTGCAATGTTGGAAAGTAGAGCGATATTCAACAAGAACAAAAACCCAACAAAACGTAAACGTAAATACTGTATATGCATTTGAACGTCATTAATGTTGTGCTTATTTTTTGTGAAAGACAAAAATATCGCAATAATATTGTTATCGAAATACTAATCACTCATATCAAATATCACTCTAGTTTCCAATATCGTGCAGCTCTGATATACATTTAATTTTCTTTCAGGTCCACCAAAAAAGACTTCAAAAATACTGGTGAAAGTGAAAATGTCTTGGTTTGTGGATTTCAACCCTCTCGATCCCATGATTTTGGAACAGGTACAGTATGTGGAGAGTAGCAGTGATTCTTGTCTAATCCGTCTACGTTCACATTCTCAATTATTATTATTTTTTAATCCGGTCATTTACAAATCAGGCGGCCATCTTGGACTGAATTTTCACAATCAGTTTGCCTTCGATGATGTTGATGTTAGTGTGTAAAAATATGGCCAAAAGTGGTACTGCAGCCTCTCCCACTCTATCTGACTCAGGTTGCCAGATATGCAGACGAATCCAGCTGGGGCCACAACAGCTGAATAGACAAGAGTTTTGTAAGTAAGTAAGTAAGTAAGTAAGTAATCTTTATTTGTCAACAACAAATCTATAACCAACACCTTTTTCACAAAGATAGAAATCCTGGTTTTATTCCTTGTTTTGTCGTTCATCATAACGAGACCTTTTTTAGTTCTGCGCCACATGGTACTTTACCAGTGAGATTAGCTCCACGCGGTGAGTTCTGGCGCCCTAATCACAGACTTTCTGATTGGTGAAACGGTGGAGGGCGGGACATCAACATATATATATATATATATATATATAAAAATTGTCCACTCACCTTTGGCCCTCCGCGGGCGGTTATCCCTCTCTAAGCTCGGGTCCTCTACCAGAGGCCTGGGAGCTTGAGGGTTCTGCGCAGTATCTTTGCTGTTCCTAGCACTGCACATTTCTGGACCGAGATGTCCGAGGTTGTTCCGGGGATCCGCTGTAACCTCTTCTAGCTTCGGGGTCACTGCCCCGAGTGCACCGATCACCACGGGCACTACTGTCACCTTTACCCTCCAGGCCCTCTCCAGCTCCTCTCTGAGACCTTGGTATTTCTCAAGCTTTTCATGTTCTTTTTTCCGGATGTTACCATCGCTTGGAATTGCCACGTCCACCACCACGGCTGTCCTCTGCCCTTTGTCTACCACCACGATGTCAGGTTGGTTTGCCATTACCATTCGGTCGGTCTGTATCTGGAAGTCCCACAGGATCTTCGCACGCTCATTTTCCACCACCTTTGGAGGAGTTTCCCACTTAGACCTTGGGGTTTCCAGCCCATACTCTCCACAGATGTTTCTGTACACTATGCCAGCCACTTGGTTATGGCGTTCCATGTAGGCCTTCCCTGCAGCATCTTGCACCCTGCAGTTATGTGTTGGATCGTCTCAGGTGCCTCTTTGCACAACCGACACCTTGGGTCTTGTCTGGTGTGGTAT